CATTAATTAAAAAAATAAAAACGTGTATCTTCATGTTTGTGAAGAAAATGTGAACCAGGTGTTGCTCATCTCTGTATCGCCATGGTCACAGAAACCTGGTTGTTCACTCCTACTCTTTTTCCCACCTCCACACAGTCTCCCTCATTCCCTGCTCCCATGCAGCACTTTTCATCCTGAACGATCCTAAAGCACTTCATTATTTAGATACTTACAGCATCATCTGTGTGTTAGAGGACAGCACCCAAAAGGCACAGATCACACTGCATGACAATATAATGAGCAGGAGAAAATTTGGCTAGGAACAAATACCTATGTTTGTTGAAAGTACAATAGAAATAGAAAAACAAATCTATATTTTTTTAAAGAATTCGTATTTTCATCATCGGTATGGAAATTTAAAGGACACAGGTAAAGATGACTCTTCTTTTTCCTTCCTGCAGACTATTTCGGGAACACTGTGATAAAGATGAAAAACAATATGATGATTTTTTTTAAAGTTGAAATGAAAGATGCTGTGGAGCTCCCTGAATGGGAAAAGAAAAGCATAAACATAGTCCTTTACTTGAATCCATCTGGTAACCTATATATGCTGTTTATCAATGGTTCTAGTATACACCGTGAGGACTATCCCTTGAAAACTGAAATGTTTAGTTACATACATGGTTTTCAAGATATTTGCCCATATGTAGTATTTAAGCACAGCATGGATTTAAATGTCTATTACCTGGACATGGGAGATGAAGTGACATTTTGGGCTCAAATAGTCTATATGGAGAATCTGGGCTTATCCACAGATGTGGAAATCTACAGGCCAGAATTGCTGATGCAGACAACATATGTCGATTATGAAATAGCTCGTGGAATCTGTACTAAAAACCAGGTACGTTATATTAAAATGGTCCCTGTATACAATACAATTTGCTTTCTAACTACAATATATTTAGCATAATTTGCAGTATATATCTTCATATAGACTTCCATTCTTTGCTTTCTTTGGGCAATAGAGTGGGGGTGGGGCCGCTTCCCATCCCCACAAATTCCTTCCCTGGCAGATTTGCTGCTGTTGAGGCCATGACAGCTCTTGCCAGCATAAATCCAAGATGAATCAGCCCTTAATTTTCTGCTATATTAGATATATGAAATAAAAAATAATCTTTGCAGTTTAAATATAATTATTAGCTTTCTAGTTTAGTAAGAAAAGGAACTAGTTTTGGAATCTGAATTATGGGAGTCACCACAAGTTTTTGGAAGCCAAATATCTCGTAGCTTTGCAGAAGTATATTTACAAGATAGGGGATGGAGCTTTAAAGAAGCTTGTTCCCCAAGAGAGAAAAGGGACTGATTTAGTAAAGGGCCTTATTTGAATAAGGGCTTTTCTACACAGTGGGAAATGAACACTACCAGGTTGCAAATTCTAAAATGTACTAATGTGTTGTGCATTAATTGGTCCATGTAGACCCTGCTAGTGCACACTAAAGGTTTCTCATGCACTTTAATGAAGTACTATGTTAAAACACTCTAGGGAACCTTTAGTGTGCACCAGCAGGGCCTACATGGACCTGTTAATGCACAACACATTAGTACACTTTAGAAATCACACCCCTGTAGTACACAGACAAGCCCTAAGAGGAAATTTAAGACTGAGTTTGTTCATTTTTTTGAACATTGTAAAACAAACTGATTGTTGTTTGTTTCACAAATAACATACAATGAAAAGATTGATTTTTTTTAATATTTGTTATACATTTATTCAGTAAGAAGACAATAACTTTCATTGCATTTCATCAGATCCCTATCTGTGTAGTGTGACTGGGTGAAAAACAGGCTAGTGTTCTTTATATAATTCAGAAGAGATAAACTGATGAGCTCATAATGTTTCAGACCTTCACCAGGAACCCAAAGAGCCCACTGAAATAGTATCTTTAGTGCTAGATATTATGCCATATATACTGTTGTGATAGGTGTTTTACTAGACAGAGCCCACTGATGCTGGTCTTCATCCCTGCTTATCTTTTCTAAGGTGTGCTCTGTCTCATGAAAATGTCTGTGATCAAAGCAAAGATTTTTAAAGGATTTTTCCTAATTATCATTCCTCATCATTCTGTCTCTTTTAGACAATAAAATTTTACCATAAAATGGACTACAGCCTTGAACCTAATTACACAGAAGCATTGTAAGTACTGTGTATTTGTTAAAGATACTTAAGATGATGTAGATGGAAATTTATACATATATTGAATATCACAGTCCATTGGTTCTGATTTAGTATAAATTAAAAGTGTTTTAAATCCATAGATTTAAAGTGTTAATTGATTTTATCTGCTTTGCTTTTGAAATGTAAAGTTGTATATTTCAATTTTATTTTAAGAAGGTGGGCCTGATTTTAATCTAATGTACACAATATAATCTCATTGATTTCAACGGAGTTGCATCTGATTTATGATACAATAATGTAACTAAGACCCCAGTTCTAAAATCTCACCCTCTCTGATGTCTCATGAATGTCTAGCAGTTAGCTTAAGATCAGCCTGGCCAAAACAGAGCTCTTAATCTTTCTCCGCAATCCCTCCCTGCTACCTAATTTCTCAGTCACAGTGGACAACATCACCATCTTCCTATCACTTAGGCATGTATGTCTTCTTTTACTTGGCCCTCTCTCTAGATTCTCACAGGCTTGTGTAAATCTTGCTTCTTCTTCTTGCATAATATCTCTAAGATGCAACCTTCCTCTGTCCACACAGCTAAAACACTTGGCAAGGCCTTCATCATCTCAACTATTGCTACCTCCTACCCTCTGTCTGTGACAAATGCAGTCCTGTCCCACTTATATTCATTCCAAACACTGCTACAAAGATCATATTCCTAGCTTTTTGCTTTTTCCATGTCACCTTCTCTTTGCATCCCCTCCAGTGGCTCCTCTTTCTCTGTCACCTCAAACATAAGCTACTTGCTTTTGCTTTCAGGGCCCTTTACCGCTTATCTGCACCCTACCTGTCATCTCTGATGTGCTCTCAAGATGTGACTTCCACCTCTCCTCTGCTAATGGTGCCAGCCTCCATTTTTCAGCTTCTTAAGTTTTCAAACAAGCACCTTTGTGTTTTCTCCCATACTGCCCTTCACATATGGGAGGAGCTCCCCGTAAACCTCTGCAAAGCAACCTAATTGTCCTCCTTTTAAATCCTTCTCTAAAATTCTCCTTTGCTGTCATGCCTACAAACAACTTGATAATGGTAAGGCAGCTGGTATGCTGAAACCACTGCTTTCTCATGCCTACAAGTATTGTCTTCTTATTTCCTTGTGCTTCCCTGTCTGTCTCTACCCACACATTGTCTTTTATGCTTAGGTTTTAAGTACTTTGGGGCAGGCACCATCAGTTTAGGTATGTCTGTACTTGAGTTGGAAGGTGTAAATTCCAGCTCATGGAGACATACCCACACTAACACCGATTGAGCTAGCATGCTAAAAAGAGAAGTGTAGCCACAGCGGTGCAAGCAGAAAGAGGGGCTAGCTGGCCCAAGTATGGACTTAGGTTCTTAGGTGGGATTACTCTCAGAGCGGCTTGTCTTTGTTCACGTTGCAACAGCGACACTTCTATTTTTAGCACAGTAGCTTGATCAGAGTTAGGGTGGGTATGTCTCCTCTCCTGGAATTTACACCTTCCAGCTCCAGTGTAGACATATCCGTTACTATGTGCTTGTACAACACCTTCAGAAGGCAAGCCTAGGAACTTAATTTCATAACTCTGCTAGACACTAAAACCATGGACTCAGAGATACTGGTTTTATGGCACATTACAACAATTTGTAACACACCGCACTGCCTGCTAACCCTTAACTGCCCACTTCATTTTAAGCAATCTCCTACAGTAGATGTGAACCCCTTATGCTTAACAATCTGTTCCAACTTGTATTTAGCTGAGACACTTTTGTTAACTTCCCCTGACTTGAAGAAGAGCTCTGTAAAGCTCAAAAACTTGTCCCAGACAAAAAACTTTGGTCCAGTAAAAGATATTACCTCACCTATCTTGTCTCTCTCATATCCTGGGACAAACACAGCTACCACAACACAGCAAAGCATCCTTAAAATACAAATGGTTTAAATACCCTACTGCCGCCAAACAAATACCCTGCTATAGTTGCAATGGGTGTAGTTAGTTTAGTTAGTTAGTGTATGTCTACACTTTAATAAAACTCCTGCGCCCGGCCCATGTCAGCTGACATGGGCTTGCAGGGCTTCGGCTGATGTGCTATAAATTTGCAGTGTAGACATCTAGGCTCAGGCTGGAACCCATGCTCTGTGACCCTTCGTGGGGGGCGGGGGAAGGAGAGTCTCAATGCCCAGGCTCCAGCCCAACCCTGGCTATCTACACTGCAATTTTATAGTCCCACAAGCCTGAGTCAGCTGACATGAGCCAGCAATCTGTTTTTTATTACAGTGTAGATATACCCTTAGTTTAGTTAGTTAAATGCTATTACTGATTTATTTTCAAACTTATGTAAATCTTAATATTAATTCTTGCTTGGGGGGGGGGGTCCCATGTAGAATTGCATCCACAGGTGTTATGACAGTTGAACTACAACCTAGTAGGTCTGCAAAAATGTGTGCAACAAACAATAAGGTAAGTTTTGTATCTTGAGAAACTTATCTGGCTAAAATATGGTGGCGTTACATCTTAGATTCTTATGGCAAAATCCTGATCCCATTGATATTGATGGGAGTTTTACAGCTGAGTTCAGTGGGGCTAGGATTTCATCTTTAGGCTATAAATGCTAATGAATGTGGCTCCAGTTAATAAAGTAAGGTTATATCTTCCAAAGGTTTCTGTATGCTGCCTAAGTAGAGCTGCAGAAGAGGGAGGGTTCACAGCAGGGTGCTGGTGAGAAAGTGTTCAAGATGGGGAAAGTGATGTTGTGTCATTGACAAGGAGGAAGCCATAGAGAGAGGTAGAGTTGCCCCTATATCTAGATGAAGTTGCTGGCCCCCATTAGCATCAATGCCTCTATTCAGACTCCTCAAGTTCTGAGGACAAAGGCCTATTTTTGGAAAGCTCAAAAGTTCCTCAAGGCTTCTGAAGCTAAGCTCCTGTGGAACTTTTAAGCTTTTGGAGTGGAGCTCCTCATAATTCAAATCACTGATTATCCAGATAGTTCAAATGTGCTCTTAGACAGTTGGAATCAACTTATATATTGAACTATTTTTTAATAATAAAAGGATATTAAACATTTTAGGCTTAAGTCTTGTCTTTTAATGATAAAAAAGCATAAACATTTATACACTGCAGTTTGTATTGCAACAGATATATATTTTGACTCATATATCAAATTGACTTACCCTGTTTGTACATATGCATGTATGTAATTCTGTGCTAAAATCCATCACGGCTCAGCCTGACCTTTTTTCATTGGTTAACTTTATGTAAATTAATTATGTATGTAGTAGATGTACATTAATTATGTATATGGTAGTATATACAATAATATATATATTGTGATACAGGAGTGCCAGGGAGCAGTGGTCGAGGGGAAATATATAAGCCCTAGGCTAATTAAGGCATGGTTCCCTGTAGACTAGGGAGGGTTGTTACAAGTTAATTGGAGCACCTGTAGTCAATTAAGGCCCTATCAGGAACCTAATAAAACCCCCTGCTTCGGGCAGTCAGAGGAGGAAGGAGAGAGGACTGGAGCTGGGAAGTGTTTTGTGAGATCTCAAAGACCAGAGAACTGAAGTAAGGAAGACTCCCTCCCCCAGCGTCTAAGGACCGAGGGTAACCCCACCCAAGGGGGAAGAGGGTAAGACCCACAGGGGTTGAGAGGGGCCAGGACTCAGAGCGAGGAGCAAACCCAGACCCCTCCCCCTCTTCCCTCCTCTACCACCTTCCCGGGCCACTAGCGGGGCCTTCGGCACACAAGAGCAGGGGCAAAGGGTGGCGTCTTAGGCCCCCAAGAAAAGTGCAGGACCCACCATACGAACATAGGCCATCTTGTCACAATATAGATCTGTATGTAATATAATGTATTTCTTTTCAGCTAACTCATTTTTTTGTTGGCTGTCCTCCATCAAGGCATATTGTCATTCAGAGGCAAGTTTTAATTATCTTTTATTACTTCTGGTTTTTCATTTTAAAACAGAAGTTAAAATAAATGCTAATAAGGTATTATTGTTAGCCTAATATGCCTCAGTTATCCCATTTGTAAAATGTTGTACTTTATATTGGTTTTATACATAATTAAAAGAAAAATACCTCTCCCCTGCTGGGCACACCTTTTAGAAAATGTACATGACAAAATACATAGATTCAGCTTCTCTGCTTAGTGCAAAAAACCCCAAAACAAAAACCCAAAAATAAAAAAAATAGCTTTAAAATACACATTATCCCCTAATATACCAACTCTCAGTCACCTCCTCCTTCTACAGAAGAATTAAAAATAGATGAGCCTTGTAGCATAACCAGAAGCTCAATATATGTTAAGTTCCATAGTCAAGGGGCTCTAATGAAAAAACAGCCTAGCTATGTTTGCCACAGTGTGGACATCTCCACCATGGCACCAGTCTCCGGCACCGGTGGGAACAGCACCACTCCTGTCACTTGACAGATTCATCATCTTTCAAGTCTGAGATCGGGTCTTACTTCTCCCATCCAAGGAGCTGCTCTTGCCACTCTTCTAGGCATTTCCACTTGTCCATGGTCCAGGCACAGGAGTACCATCAAGTGATTGGCCAGGAGCACACTGGGGGGGCAGCAGGAGCAGAGCCAGAGGCTGCACCTGCCCCAGGTAGGCCAACTGGGCACTCCAGTAGCCCCATAACTGACCACAATGGCACAATTGATCTGGAGCGCAGAGTCCTCGGGCCAGAAGCAAGTGCGCATGGTTCTCCCCCTGTGGACTGGCCTGGCTGTTCCACTCTGGGGCATGTGCGTGGCTGGTGCACGGGGCAGTGCAGCAGGGGGCTGTGACAGCTGCTTCTTCAGGGACCCAGAGATGAAGTTAAGTGCTGAGCCAGCCTCTCTTACCTCCAGCCTTGGTGCTCTGTGTGCATCCCAGACACAGGGCTGTGCCACCAGCTGAGGCCCCATCTGGCAGCAGCCCAGTCTCTCCCTCTTTCTTCCTTCCCTTCCCCTCTGGTCTCACACTTAGCTTCATCTTCTCCTGCCTGGTGAGTCTGGGGGAAAGAGGCCTGTCATGGGGTAGGTACACCCCACCACAGGGTGTCAGGTCATGTGTGGTCCAAAAGAAGGGTAACGGCAGTATCGTAGCCAGTTAGTTCTTATACTAATTACCTTTACTAGGGCCTACTGGCTGACATCAATAAGGAGGCCTTTCTAGTCAGGGTAGCATGGCCCAATGGCCAGAGTCAGTAAACGGGCCTTCTGCAAGGAGCAATGTGGCCCAATGGCCAGAGTCATCATAGTATCCCACCTCTGTGGGATTGCATAGCCTGTTGTCCCATTGGGGGAGTTGGGCGCCACTTAGAGGAGTGGCGCCCCGAGTAAGGGGACTTAGGCCCTCCCTGCTTCTCCGAGTCCCAGCCCAGGGCCTTGTCGGTGGTGGGGGTGCTGACCACTGAGTCAGCAGGGATCCTCCCGAAAAACCCTGACTGGTTCCCCAGTTCACTCACTGTCAGAAAGTTTAAGTCCCCTGACCTGCTTCTTACCCTCTCCCCCTTGTCAAAGCTCCCCAGTTCCACTGGGTCTCTGGGGTCCTCAAATGGCCAAGCTCCCACCAGTGCAGCCCCTTCTTGGGGCTCATTGGGCAACATAGAGTCTGTCTGGCACTCTGGGAGCCGTGGGCCTGTAGAGAGAGCTCACAGCCTGCCCAGACTGAGCTGGGCTGCTACCTTTTATATGCTGCCTCCCTGCTGAGCATGCCCAGCAGGGTCGGAGGGATAGGGCTTCCTTAACCCGCAAAGCCAAGTTAATCCTCTTGGGGCTGGTGCGAGGTAGGTACACCCCGTCACAGGGCTCCAATTGGACCCTGGGATACAGACCAGACCTCCTTGTCCTATTGGCACCTCAAGATCTGGGCTCCCCCAGATTCCATGGTGAGTGCCTCAGTGGGAGGGGACTGTGGCCCCTAAAGCTCTGGGATGGGATCTGCTTTGCTGCAGGAGCCCCTCCTCCATTCAGTGTGTCTATGGGCCATAAGGGGGTTGGGGCATGGTGCTGTCAGTGCTCTGTCTCCATTCAGTGCCTCAGCCATGGTCAAGCTGTGATGAGGGCATGGAGGGGATCAAGCTGGCTGCCCAGGCCTAGGGGGCATTGGGTCACTGAGGGAAGCATTGCGGGCAACTTTGCCCAGTATGCCATTTTCCCTAAGTTACAATTTGGAATTGCAAACCAGCAAGCGCTGCTGGGCAGGTATGATTTTAACATGTGGGACTCCATGCAGAAATTGAAGGACTTGCTCCCACAAGAGGCCAGGCATGAGTTCTCCTCTCTAGTGGACCAGGGAGAATCAACGGCGAAGGCCTTTTTACAATCTGCTTTGGATGCAGCTGACTCGGCAGCCAGGTCCAAGGTTTCGGCAGTTGCCATGCGCAGGAGTTCGTGGTTATAGTCTTTGGGACCTCCCTCAGGAGGTCCAGCAGACACTTCAAGACGTGCCTTTTGAAGGAGCTTCACTTTTTTTGGAACAGACTGATGCGAAGCTTCAGGGTCTAAAAGACTCAACCCTTCTGGTACTCTGCCCTGGCTGGCCATCAGGATCTGCAAAGGAAGAAAATCAGGGGTTTTAGGCATAGGCCACCCCCCTTCTACTTGGATGTTAATGTCTGCCCCACCCAGGAATCCAAGGTGTTCTAAGCAGGCATTTTGATGGGGTGCTCAAGAATGCCATACCGGTTTCCATGATGCCAGACGCTGTTTATTCTTTATTTGCAAACCACCTTTCCTGTAGTCCCGTGGGATACACCCTCCAGTTTATTTCTACCCCTCCTTTCCACCCTCCCTCCCCATCCCTCCTCAGGGATCCCTCTCACAAAGAACTTCTGGTCCAGGATGTTCAATCTCTCCTTTGGGTGGGACCCATGGAAGAGGTTCCGCAGAATTTAAGAGGGAAGGGGTTCTACTCCTGTTATTTCCTAATCCCATAAGTCAAGAGAGGTCTCTCACCAATTTTACACCCATCTCAAGAAAATAAAGTTCCTCATGGTCACCCTGGCATCCCTTATCCCCTCACTGGATTCCCATAGACTGGTATGCCACCCTCAATTTAAGAGATGCTTATTTTCGCGTGTTGATATACTAAGTCCACAGAAGGTTCCTCAGATATGTAGTGAACAACTCAAATTACCAATATATGTTAGCATACAATTACAAAATGTATGGTGGCATAACCTCTGAGGAGGTTAGGGGTGCAGGTCTACCCTTATCTAGACGAATGGCGACTCAATGGTCGGTTTAGGGATCAGGTGGTGTCCAACATTCAACTCATCCAGTCAACGTTCAAGGCCCTAGGCCTTCTGATAAATGCATAAAAGTCTACCCTCACTCCACTGCAGAGAACAGAGTTCATTGGGGTGGTGCTCAACTCTACCCATTCCAGGGGTGCGATTCCAATCAATCAGATCCTTAATAACACACCTCAAAGGTCATCCAATTACAACAGTCTGAAATTAATT